AGGTAGCAGAAACATTTCAAACCTTCAAAGAAGAAGAAAAATCCTCCACTGGATAATTCACTGTGAAACTCTCCAACTCTTCATTCCACCTTAAAGTCTGTCTGACACTGAAATCCAAAGCAAAATGTGCGTTTGCTTTACAGACAGCAGTCCAACACAAACATACACACATCATCCAAAACACAGTCCAACATCCAAATCTCCTCCACTGCCAGCATGAATGATGGGAAAGAGAAGGAGGAACACTCTGACATTCAGGGTTAGAATGAGTTTCATGAAGCAGACTGTGAAGATCAAAGCTGCATTAGAAAGCTTACATGAATGAATGAGTGGACAGAAGTAGACAGTGATCATCTGAAGCACTTCAAAGGATTTAAATCATCACATTTCTCTTTATTTTTTATCAACTCCATTAGTTTCTAACAGTTTTTTCGTTTAATGAAGCTAACAGCAAGTTAAAAAGATGCTGACCAATAGATTTCTATTAAAGGTGATAATTTGTATATTAAAAAGTGCCGGTGCTTTGGCTCAGCAGGGATCAGCTTACAGTTAGAATACAGCTGCTGGATGGGATTAGCATGCCATAGCTATCTACCAAACTGCTAACTGGGGAATTTCAGGCCATCTATGAATCATTTTTGCTAACTGTTTATTCAACTTAGGCTCACAGGGCTGGAGCCTGTGCTCTGGCTGTCATAGGGCAAGAGGTGTGGTCCACCTGCACAGGTGAGTGGTCCATCACAGGGCCAACAGAGAGAGACAGAGAAGTACTCTCTCACATCCACGCCTACAGGCAATTTAGAAGCACCAATAAACCTAAGCAGCATTTCATTGGAATGTGGGATGTTATCCCACATTCCAATGAAATGCTGCCCAGCAGACCAACAACCTTCAACCTACAATCTTTTTGCTTTAAGGAACTAGTGCTAACCACTTTTCCCCATTTCAGCCCAAATCCTGCATCTTCCTGTTTCTGACTCTAGGCCAGCTCCACTAACACTTTCTCATCAGACACTGCCACCTAGTGGAGGAAGTATTAGTTCCATTTGAAGCTTCAGATTACAGTTAATTCCTTTAAAAAGAGTTGGAGGTGGTGGGGCCACAGGACCATCATCAAAGTGCCATAGGACACTTAACCTTTGTTTCCATATGCTGGGAACTTCCTGTTGTTCCAAGGAGGACTGGAAAATGTGTGAAAATCTCCCAGTCAGTTCCTCACAGCACACTTCAATCATTTCCCTCCCACAGCATCAGGACCAGGGCTTTTTCTCTCTTTGGTCCCACTAAGAGATTTCCACACAAACACCTCATCAGTGGGACTCTCAGAGCTACCAGCCCTTTGCTACAATCACAAAGCTCTTCATTGAAATCAATGATATCAAAGCTGGAATCAAATGAGTCCAAGTCTTCTGCTGATTCAGCATCACATTCATCTTTGCTCCTTGTTCTGCATCCCCACCATGGACTTCATTCCTTTCCAAGCCAGCCTTGAGTGTCCTTTATTCAGCTCATCCTCTGCTTTACTTTTACACCTGATTTTAGCTGCTTTATCTCTCTTTCAACAAGTTTCTGTGCCTCAATCTTTTTCTTCTCTCCCTCATAACAAGACAGCTTCTTCTGCCTGAGAACATGTTGGAGTGATTTACTAATCCAGGGCTGCTTATTGGGGAAAATACTTCCTGTTTTCAAAGTAATCCCCATTTTCCCGGAAAAAAATGTAAGTAGAAATAGATGAGCCAAGTGAGAATATGAGCCTTTAAAAAGTCCCAGTGGGTACAGTCAAAGCAGTCCCTCGGTTCCAGTATAGAGTCTTTGGTCCAGACTGGACTGAAACTGTGTGCCCAGTTTGAGCTCTCTACAGTACTGTGATCTGACAGACCCAGAGGGGCCATCACATCACATTTAGAAGCTCCCCTAATGGAGCCACAACACATGTCCAATACTTAGTCTGTCTTGTTGGACAAACTGGAAGAAATGATTCAAGGACTTAGTCACAGACCAGAGATTCAAATCTCCAAAATCCAACTGGCTGCATCAGGGCATATAGTCTGAAACTCTGCACAGCTTCCTGTTTGAAGCTGCTTCCTGTTGGCTTCAGCTGTTTAGAGTTTCAATTTTATAAACTTCCACATAAAAGATTATGAAACACTGAATGATATCTAATAAACTTACATTTTTCATCCTTTATACAGATTGTATCGCTGTGGTTTGTCAAAGATCAGCTGTGATTATCTGGCAGCAGCGCTGAAGTCCAACCCCTTCCATCTGAGAGAGCTGGACCTGAGTAAGAACAAACTGCAGGGTTCAGGAGTGAAGCTGTCTGAGCTTAAGGACAGTCCAGACTACAGACTGGAGAGTCTGGTGTAAGTAGAGTGTTGGAGTGAGTGGGTGGTGCATTCAGCAGTATTGTACTAAACACAGTCAGTATGAAGCAACGATCCAGTGTTTCCTGTAAAGCTGCAGCTTCTCAGTGAAGCTGTGAGAGGAGAATGGTGACAGGCTTCAGGATTGGACACAAACACTTCCTGTTTCTGCCTTTTTGTCACCTGACACGCTCTGATCAAACACTGTTAATAGCCAATCAGCTCTCTGAGCAAAGCAGCACACAGACCAATGACTGCATTCATTTCCAAGTTTAAAGCAGTGAAGAACACTCTGTAGGTGAGGAAGAATTTAGTGAGAGCAGATGTTTGGATGGAATTCCTCCAGTTAACAGCTGGAACCATCCATTTAGATTGTTGGGGTTCCTACAGAGCTCAGACTGGACAGACCAAGGTTCTTCTAATGAATGTCCAAGCTAAAATAGGAGTGAAAAACATTTTCATCAACTTCAATAAAAATCCAAAGATTAGAAAAAGTGAACCAACAATGAGTCCTAGTACAGTCCCAGCACTGAAGTCTCTGCTGCTCTTTATACTGGATGTGCTGCATCACTGACTGACAGCTGATGAACAGTCTCTGGAAACACTCGTTTATCTCCTCTGCTCTTCCTTCTTCTCTCTGCAGGTTAAAATGCAACAGAGGCTACAGCGTGTGTTTATAGACGCTCTGACTGGGCCATGTTACTGGGAGGTGGAGTGGAGAGGAGAGCTTCATCCAGCAGTGACTGACAGAGGAATGAGAAGAAGTGCAGATGACTGTCAGTGCTGCAGAGTGAACTGCTCTGAGAACAGCTCCACTGTCAGACACAATGTAGAGTCCAGCATCATCCCTGTGTGTCCCTCTGGATCTGACAGAGGATCATCAGTGTATCTGGACTGCTCTGCTGCTGCTCTGTCCTTCTACAGTCTCTGCACAGTCTCTGTCTGACACTGGCTTCAGACCCTCCTGGATCAAACTCACCTGGAAAGTCTTTCAAACACCTTTGATTAATAAATGTCATGTTTTAATAAGATAACTATCATGTTTTCATGTTTGTATGCAGTTTGAGCCTCAGTGGATAAATCAGGGCTTAATGTTTAATGTGGATACTAATGATCAATAAATGTTTTGATTTTAATCAAAGGAATGACTCGGACTGAATCTGTTCCTGCTTTTCTCTCATGTGGATCCGATCCAGACCTCCAGTTTCTGCCCTCCGCCTCACATTAGTCACCCAGCACCGCAGCTTTCCCATTAAAGCTAATAACATTTTCCAGTGTCCAGTCATTTATAATATTTAAAATTGATTAGGTTACTGTTTAAAATATAGCAATGTCACTTTTAGGAGTGGCTTCCTTAATCTTCCGGGATGATGTTCCCAAACCTCCACCCTGTGGCTCTCAGCCGGGTCTGTCACAGTAAATATGAGCATATGTGAAGCCTATCAGGGCTCTGTGTTTTACAGTCAGGCTACGTTCACATGTACACAGGTATTTTTGAAAAGGCAGATTTTTCTCTGCGTTTGCACCTTTCCTCCACACATAAACTGTTTTCGATTGCTGAAAACTGAGATTTTTAAAAACTCCTGCCAGGTTGGAGATTTTCAAAAACTCAGTTTTTGCGTTTGCGTGTGGACGAGGAAAACAGAGATTTAGTCACACAACCTCAAAGGCATGTGCGTGATGCTTGCGCCATGTTATTGTTTACATGAGATCATTTCTACAGTAAATGAATATCGTTGCTGTTAATCTGACTTTCTGCAGTTTTTACACACATATACACATGCAGTTACTGTCCCTCCATTTAGAAAGACAGAGGCGTCAGAGTGAACTTCGGACGTGGCTTCTACATTCAACACAGACACTCTCACAATGCGAATCCCAACATTAGTTTTGAATAAATTTAATTTTTTAAAATTAAATTACTATGCTGTATGCATTTGGTTCATTCCAGAGTTGTGAGTCTACACCAGCCAAACAAGTCTTTAGTTAATAACATTTGAAATGATGAAGGCACTTGAAAAGTAACACAAAAATAGCTGCCTTTTTAGAAAAATACAAAAGGGTTAGGGTTTGTGAAAGAGAACACAGTGAGCCCTCCCCACTTCGTCCGACGACTGGGTGGTTAGATAGAGGGCCACTGGAAATGCACGGGCCGCCGCACGTCATGCGTAGTCCCCCATTCCCCTTCCCCGTCTCAGTCCTCCTTTTTCTTACCCTGAAAAGCGACCGTTTCGCCCCCAGGAGACCCTGAGACAGCACTTTTGGTCATTCCCCATTATATGGTACCCTTTATTTAGTGACTTACCTGTTGTTTCAGTATTGTAGAACATTTTTCTTATGTACGTTTTCTTTGTCACATTACTCTACAAGTTTTTGTCAGTTGTTTATTTCCCATTTTTCAAATTTCAATTTTGTTTTTATGTGTAATTTTTGATTTTCAAGTTATGTCTTGTTTCTTTTTTT